ATATGAATATATCTCGGCTTCTAGAAAAAGCCGTCTATCGCAACTGGTAGAATCAGAACCGCCTCTATAAAAAACCTATACAAACAAGTAGCCAGATCATCCGAATAGTTTTCCGTATTTTTAGACAATTTTTTTAGTTTTGTAGTCGTTGCAAAATCATAGGACACCCCCCCCCCCAAAAAAAATATGAATATCTCGGCTTCTAGAAAAAGCCGTCTATCGCAACTGGTAGAATCAGAACCGCCTCTATAAAAAACCTATACAAACAAGTAGCCAGATCATCCGAATAGTTTTCCGTATTTTTAGACAATTTTTTTAGTTTTGTAGTCGTTGCAAAATCATAGGACACCCCTCGGAAGTCTCCTTACAGTTGAATTTTTTTATCCATCCAGCAACGATGGTAGCACTTGTCCGGTGTATGGTAATTCTATTAGAGTTACGGTTTGAGTTGCTCCCTTTCCCTCCGCGAGTGAAAGCCAGACTTTCTTTTTATACGCGCCTGATGGCTCTACCATGAGCATCGAAGCCATTTTTAGGAGCTCAAAGAAAACCATAGCTTGGTGCTCCAAATTCTCACTACGAATAGAAATAAGAGTGCACCAGGATAAATAGCAGAAGTTCTCTAAAAGGATTAGCTATAACCTCGAAGATTACATCAAACAAAATCACCATGTACGGTCAACCTGTGTCAGCTCTACGAAAGAAAGAGGATAGAAATGAAATCCTATAGCAAAATCACTGATATGGACAACTAGCGTAGGGTCCTGCGAAGCGTGCTGCCATGCTCGTTAGGCGTTCTGACTGAAACCAGAGAAGAGAAACTTCAGGTCTGGAACTCAGGATGAGGTTACGCATCACCACATCTTTAGGAAACGATCACGAAAATTTTGTTGAAGGAATAAGTCGAATCCTGGCCCATATTTCTTTACAAGTGAACAGCAGTCATCTGAACCATCAAAGTTAAACTGCTCATTACCGAAGAAGCGCGGTCTGAAAGGAACAAATTACTTATTATTTTGAATGAAAAATTGCTCAACAAAGCCCAGCTTCGGCCCAGTCTTTCGTTAATTTCTCTTCTCTGGTTTCAATCAGAACGCCTAACGAGCATGGCAGCACGCTTCGCAGGACCCTACGCTAGTTGTCCATATCAGTGATTTTGCTATAGGATTTCATTTCTATCTCCTTTCTTTCGTAGAGCTGACACAGGTTGACCGTACATGGTGATTTTGTTAACCCATAACGGACGGCCAGTGTATTTTTCGCGTGCGCCACCATGTGGCGCACGCCGCCACCCAGGGTAGGGTTTATGTAGGCTTATGTGAACAGCAGGGGTAAGACGGGGCTAAAGTAGGTGTCGGAGTCTCATCATCCGAAAAAAGAGATTTCCGTTGACGACAAGTTCGTAGCCCGCCTTTCCGCTCTAAAACTAGGGTGCAAAGAATGAATGGAAGCTGTAGGTGACATTATCGAAAAATGCGAAACAACAACCCCGAGCAAGGATGTGGCTATATTTAGGGGAAGGGGTCTCGGGACGTGCGAACCATGGGTAAGCCACCCATCAAATAGTAAACTTATGTAAATTAAGACAAAATGTATGTAAAATTTATTGTAGGTTTGTCAAAAATCCAGCCGTCCAGGTCCTGGGAAGATATGTTATTCCACATTGCTGAGAGTATATATGGGTATATTAAGATTGCTAGAAACATTCCAAAAACAAAAGAAATAGTCGTGCGCCACCTTGTGGCGCACGCCGTCCGTTATGGGTTAATGTAATCTTCGAGGTTATATGCTAATCCTTTTAGAGAACTTCTGCTATTTATCCTGGTGCACTCTTATTTCTATTCGTAGTGAGAATTTGGAGCACCAAGCTATGGTTTTCTTTGAGCTCCTAAAAATGGCTTCGATGCTCATGGTAGAGCCATCAGGCGCGTATAAAAAGAAAGTCTGGCTTTCACTCGCGGAGGGAAAGGGAGCAACTCAAACCGTAACTCTAATAGAATTACCATACACCGGACAAGTGCTACCATCGTTGCTGGATGGATAAAAAATTCAACTGTAAGGAGACTTCCGAGGGGTGTCCTATGATTTTGCAACGACTACAAAACTAAAAAAAAAATTGTCTAAAAATACGGAAAACTATTCGGATGATCTGGCTACTTGTTTGTATAGGTTTTTTATAGAGGCGGTTCTGATTCTACCAGTTGCGATAGACGGCTTTTTCTAGAAGCCGAGATATTCATATTTTTGGGGGTGTCCTAATGATTTTGCAACGCACTTTAGTATACAAAATCATTATTTATTGTAAGTTCGTTTGGATCTGACGCAGGTGGTTCCGAGTCGTTTTGAGGTCCAATTTGTTTTAATTCATGCCTTTTATGTAACTTTATCGTCCAGACCTATTCACTGCATACGTAACGTTTCTGGTCGCTGAACTGTAATGGCCGACATTGTAGACTAAGGCTCAGAAGTCGTTTACCTTTGATGTTGAGCAGTTGAGACGATTGTTCGTAAAATTCGTGTCGAATCCTGTTTTCCGAAGTTTCCATCACGAATATCCAAGGGGTGGATGCATTTTGCCCGCTGCGACTTCGTCGGCCGGATCCTCCACAACATTTTTCCATTTCTCACCCGGCCGGTTTGAAAGAGGATTCTACGATAAGAACGAAGGTCGAAGAAGAGGGAACCTACCCAGTGGAGGACAGGCGAACCTCCAAAGAGTGTGGGCCTACCGATTCGCATCGAAGAATATGTGTATCCCCATATGTGGATCCAGCATGCCCTTCCCCGCGGCGCAACGGCGCACTATTGGAGTGTAAAGAAGAAAGTAAGTGTCCGCGAAAACGCTTAGGTTAAGGGTTTTCCACCTTCGTGATTAAGGCAGTGAAAGACATAGCACGGAGAGGAGAGTATGAGAGAGCGCAACAGTTGCAAAATGACTGCCTGATAAAAAAAGAAATTTGCAGCTGCTTGCTAGCTGCACTTTGCAAGCCCTGGCGCTCTTGTCGGTGTTTTCGTGCAGGGAATGCCACACCTGTGATTGTTCCTTTAGGGGTCTATCCTCCAGACCGAAGGGGATCGTTCACACGACATCTGCCTGGGTTGTGCCTTCAATTTCCATTGGCCTTTTTATCGTGAAAATCATTTTGAAGAGTGCGGCATCAGTGCTTCTCCGATTGGGCTACTAGCATGGGAGCTCTGGGAATGGTGGCCAAGCTCCCTATGTGATGGAATATTTGTAGCCGATCCCGCTTCGCAGTGTTAAGGTCGTGCGAACGTAAATAAGCATAAAGACATAAAGACATGAAGCCGTGCTTTGGTTCTTTTTGAAAGTTCATCACTGCAGCGTCAAAATTATTTTCCCCTTCTTCCATACCGATCGGTCATCGAAGTATTAGGTGTGGGGAGCGAAAACCATCTCGCAGGACAAGCAGCCGATGGCTGTAAAGGGGTTTCTACAACTGTGCAAGCTTTCATAAATTCTGTAGGATTTCTAAATTGTATTAAGCAGACGTTTTGCATGAACCATGTAGGTGTGGTAATGTAGGTTATCTTTAGACTGTTGGTCTTTTGCATACAGAAGGAGGGAAACGTGACGATTGGTTTCAGCTGAGCTAAAAGTACCCCTACCATTGCAGACATTCTGCGTCTTTATCTCTGTGGCAGTCATCTACGACTACATCTATCAAATATTCTTCTTCTCAGCTGTACTGACATTAGGAGGTCATCGCGAAGCACGCAGAGGGAACGCCTATCTTTGCTGTTTGACTGTGCCTCCTCCTACGAAGGTACGAATTTCCCTGGTGATCCATTCGATTGATTATGAAGATTTTGTTGTTGTGCAATGCCTGTCAGAGCACTGTCGTGAACGCGTGGGAAATGATCGCAATTTAGATCGAAAGGAATGAGAAGCCGTCGTGGATTGTGCGCACTACGGCAAAAATTCTGGACGCTGTTCTTGATGCTTGGGTCGATTTTAGTCTCTCAATCTGGAGTAAATTCATAGTGGGAGGTGGGCTTTGCCATAAAACTGTTGGGAAGAAAACCAGTTATTTGTTCATATGTGTGGTTCGATTCTGAAGCCTGTGCTTAAGAGTGTCTTACAAGGCAGATGCTTCACAACATCCACATACATCACTCATGTGAAAGCCTACACTGTCTGTGTAGAGATTTTGCAAGTTTCTCAATTCTCAGTGGAAGATTCTCAATGGCCCTTTTCTGAAAGCACACTCTGCGGTCAGCTTAGAGCAGTCGTTTCGGTAGCTAAGATAGAGCTGTTCACGAAATTCTGTCGCATTCACGACTCGAAAAAGCACGACTAGAGCGCTAGTGCTTGCCAGTGCTTGCGAATAGTGGCTTGACGACCAGTGGCCCTCCTGTCTCTCACTATGGCCGAACGTGTATCTGACTCCTCTCATACAGCGTGCTCTCTGGAAACTTCTCCCTTCTTTGCACACTTTCACTCCCGGTCGTACCATGGCCTATCCCTATAAAAAAATGAGGCCATCAATCGTTAGAGTTTTCAATCTCCTCTTTTGCTCCTTCTTCACCGCCGCTTCTCATCGCACCCTCATTTTACTTCCAAGCGAAATAACTGCAATCTGATCGTGGAGTGTCCTTCGAACTAGAGTGCCGAACTGGTGCTTGGTTTCTACCCTGTGTGATATCCTCCTTACACGGTATGTACTACATATGTAGGTTCATCATATTCTCTAGACCTTTGAACGATTGCATATAGTTCTTGTCCATAACGTTCTTCTGTAGTTTTATTCTAAATGCGAATTATTCTACACAACCAAGGATTATTTATCATTCGTGCAATCATTTACAGGAGTTATGTTGGCTTACTGGGCCGTGATGATTCATGGTGTAATGCAAATCAAAGTCGGCCTGTCCTCAGAAAAGCTCTTTCTGACGACTCACACTTTGCGAGCTTGTTTAGAATTCCAGACAAACGTATTTTCAAGAGCGAGGCCACGATTATTTATAATCTTTAACTAATATATTTTTGTTTATGCTACGTTTTGATCGGAGATCTTCAGAGCTGGTGGCAGAAGTGCTTGCATAAGACACGGCGAGAGTACTGCCTTTAAAACAATTGAAGAGCGTTCAATTCTATAAAATTGCCAACAGTTCCTTGGTAGGTAGACGAAAGGGCGTAATCATACTCCATATTGAGCAGACGAAATTTAGCCTGCCTCTGCTGGAGCGTCGTATACAACGAACTGTCAACCGGTGCGGGCGCGAGAAATTTTACGACCCCCCTCCCATCTACAAGTGGTGTCAGGTACGCCCTCCCCTCCCTGTTAGCATCGTGTGACTACAAGTTGGAGAGGCAGGGGACTCCAGGAGTGCGCCATAACAAATTTCATTGGGCAAGGTAACAAGTTCCAATTGTTGGCATCATCACTGTGGTCTCGCACCCATTGTTGAACGAGAGACGGAACACCAAATTGGGGCGGTTTCAAATGAGCCGTGTTCAAGTAGTCCGTATCGTAACGCGAATGGAAGGTGGTTCTTTAAATCTAGGCATCGCGCCCTTACCAGAGCACGGGGCTTGCCATGCAGCCGCGTTTTTCTCGTACAAAGAAGTGCAGTCGAGATGATGTGGAGTTTTTTTGAAATTAAATAATTTACAACATTTCCCATAAACCGGTACCATTATATTTTTAGATATTTCTAAATTCAGGAACCTAACAAGCTTTCCCCAAACTTCCAAATCTTGTTTCCTTCTATTTTCCATATGCCGAAAAACTAAATCTGTTGTAGTTACGGACGTCCTTATTTGAAAGGTATGCCTTCGTTCATCGGCGCTCTCATAGAACGGGACAAAAAAATTCGGAAAACCTAAATAGTTTTCTCCCTGAAAAGTTTATGAAGTGTTGGGAATGTACAATTTTTCAAAAAATCGTCCCTTTGTCCTTTTTGTGCGAACGCGAGTTTTCGACATTCAAATATTCATAACTTCCTTCAGAATCAACTTTTTGCAGCTATTTTAAGCTGGGAAGCTATAAGATTAGCGCTTCCAAACAGATACCTGAAATTTTTCCAAAGATCACTCTCTCGAAAAATTGTCCCGCTGTTCCGTTTCTAGGGGCCTGTGGTCCGATTTCCGACAAAGCGCGAGTTTTTAACATTTAAACGCTCATAGTAACTTTCTTTATAATCGACTTTTTGCAGATTTTCAGAGCTGGTCATAAAAAAAAACTTTTAAGGGGAAGAAAAAACAAAATTTGCGATTGGTGCTTCCGAATCAGTGCTCTTCTTTGAGCAATCACTCTTTCAAAAAATAGTCCCAATGTATCAATTTCTTCCTTTATATCAAGGCATTTTCCTGAAATGCGACCTTGCAGTCTTCGAACGCCTGTAACTTTATTCAATACATATAATGAGAAGCGGTAATTACTGTTAGAGTTTTCGTGATGAGTGCTCTGAAATTTATGCAAAAATTTCGTGAAAAGCTTTCTTCTGTCAGAATTCTCTAGGAGGTGAGGTCCCTAGAAGCCAATTCAGCAAGTTCGTTGCACTTTCTTCCGCTCAGAATTGTTCTGAAATCATCGAGATTCTTTTAAGGAAGTTTGTCTGCTTACGGCCGCTGACAGACAAAGCGTTTTTGAGTGAAAACTCCTGCTTGGGAATACGCCGCTCATCGCTTATGGTTAGCTGTCGTACTAGCATTTAAAGGTCCTTCATTTCCATCTAGACAGTGGTAATAACGCCATTTTAGCTGTGATTTACTGTTCCATGGTGATCCTGTTTCACTAACTTCATTATATGATAGGATTATATGTATTATTATTTTTTATCACGTTTCCTTACAAAGTAACTCTCCTAGTGCATTGCACATCCACTCCACTCCTCATCATCTGTGGATCCCCATGCATGGTTCCCGCGTTTACGACCCCTTCCCTTTCTTTCGGCCAAATATGACATCCTTGTTGTTTTTGTGCAATGGGTGGTTGACCCTGGTCGCAACAGTTGCCAGGAATGCTTTTACACTCAGCGAAATAGCGGTTACTTGCAGTACATTGACCACATCGCAGAATTGCTGTGGAGTGTTTACTTCCATGAAAATGATTGTCTGCATAATGCTCCCAAAAAGATTTCATTTTCTAGTCGTTACAGCTGTATGAGATGAGGCGCCAAAGCGAATAAAAAAGCATGAGAATTAATTGCATTGCCTAGTGTGCCAACAGTAATTCCAACTACACTAAATCGATCAATAACGTCCAGGTTGCCGTGTTCGTGAATAATCCAAGCAATATGCACCACCGAGAGACTGTGCCGGAAATCATGAGGATTCTTCGTAGGTTCGAAACAGCCAACAACAGCGTAGGAGCTGCTAGTACTCATATGTGGTTACTACCGTATCTACCCTACGTTGGTGAAAAGGTAAAACAAAAGTTTGAGATTAGCGAGCAAAATACACATGCAAATAGAGAATATTCAAGGAACATGGTTCAATTGACTTCAAGTATCGCTACATGCCGGAGTTCTTCAAGCTGCCAGAATACAGGAGATGGAGCCACTTCGTGAACTCTAGTGCGATCACGCGGTATGTCACAATTCAGCAATCTCTGCAAAAATCTCATAATGACGTTGGGACAGTCTTAGGGGGGGGGGGGGGGGTGTCACCATGGGATCCCCACCACTACTATAATTACAATTAATATTTTAATAGAATTTGGTTATGGTACTGAGTGATTCCAATTTTCCCATCCCCCCCCCCCCTTCCTTAAATCTACTAACCAGCGGGAAGATAACCCTTTTTTTCCTACGATCGCAATCGCTTCAACATAACCAAATTCGACCTTCTCAGCGGACAGTTGACGTTAATGAACGCCATTCACAAAACACAATTAGAGCCACATCACAGTTTCTGTTGGGGGGAAATTCTACCGGAACGTTCACTCTAATCCAGTTCTCAGACTTGGCTAACTCGTTCATTCTTCAGCGACTTGCCTTGCTGAAAGACCGTCATGTCTGCAAAAGTTCGTCTTTTCCACCGGATTCCACAATGCTGTCACCTGGACAGAGCGCTTAAGTTTGCTAGAGCAATGGAGAAACATCGCCAGTGAATATCGCCATCTTAATCTCACCGTCTACGAAGATTTCTCGATGTACTCTGATCAGGTGCTTTCAAGAATGTACATATTGTTGTAATGGTAGTCAGAGAGTGCAATTCATAATATACTAAACTCATTTCAGTTGCTTATCCATCGTTCCTGTCACGCAGCAGACGGTCTTTTTTGCTCTTGTTTGCATGCTGATTGTACTCACGCTTTTTACACCCTCCCCAGTCACCATTGTGACGTCTTCCTGCTCAGTGTTGTCGATCAATCTTGGTGAGTTGATGTACGAGGCGGTTCTTGAAGGTGGACCCAACGATCAGGTCGGAGTGAAGCTGCGCAAGCATACGGAATGTACCTACTCCACCGCATGACATTCCCAGGCAGCCGCGGAAGGTCCAACCACAGGGCGAGCTCCACCTAGAGTCCCGCCCTACCCTGGAGTTAACCTCTTACGCCGCGCTTATATATACTTGTTCGTGTCCATGATACCTCAATTTCGATTTTTTTTTCGGATCTTGAATCTCGAGCTCCGAGTTTAGGTATAATACCCGCTGCAAAGTTTCAAACGGTTTGTGCGATGGTTGAGGCAAGTATGGCTGAGAGTCAAGAATAAAGACCCATGTCTTCACCTCTGACTAACGAGTTCAATTCCTGCCGAGGCTCCCAACCGCTGCCCTGCGCTGCACATCTGCCCAAAAATGGTTCTAGTACCAGACCAATGCCCAGGTTGACAAGTCGGCTGATGAACACCCAAAATGCGCCAAGTCGAAAAAGGTGGTAAAGCTAGGAATCACCCGGAAGTGGCGCGCTGAATGCCCTCCAGATTTCTGTGGTCATTCACTGCATAACGGCTTAGCTGAGCGCACAGTGAACGCTTTGGCCGAGCACTAGTTCATAATGGGGCTCGAAAGACGAATCGCTCACGGGCGAAGTCAAGGCTAGTTGTGCATCTAAATGACGCTTGGGGCGAGCCTTCAAGTCCTGTGCACTTCAGGAGACACGATGGAAAGGAGAGAAGGCCAGGGAAATCGGGGAAGGTGTCAAACTCTACTACAATGGAGAAGACACCAAGCGGAACGGTGTGGCCATAGCGGTAGCGGAGTCGCTCAAGGACTATGTCTCCGCTGTGAACAGGATCAGCGATCGGATCATGGCTGTGAGAACACGAAGGAGGGGTACTGGACCATACTCTCCGTGTACGCACCGCAAGCCGGATGCCCCGAAAATGTGAAGACGAGTTTGTCTGAGCCTTGACGGTGCCATCAGGTCGAAAAGGCCTTCGACCGGATACCGCGAGCAGTAATATGGGGTGCTCCAAGGATCGGTTCTGAGCCCTTTCCTGTTCCTCCTAACACTAGATGTCATGGTGGAGCTCATGGACCACTAAGACCATCCTCTACGCTGACGACATCGCCCTGATAGCGGATAGCAGAGAGGAACTACAGGCCAAGGTGCAGAAATGGCAGAAGTCCTGGCAGAAGGTGGGCTCCGGCTGAATGTCAAGAAGACCAAGTTCCTGAGCTCTGAAGAGGGTGCAGAGCCGATCGTGGACGGCCATGGTGAAACCATCGAAAGAGTGGAGGACTTCCGATACCTTGGGAGCGATCTGGCAGCCGACGGCAGTGTGGATCAGGCAGTGAAGGCACGGATCAACGCGGCATGGATGAAATGGAGCCACTGGAATCCTCTGCGATCGAAGGTGCTCCAGAACGCTCAAAGGGAAGGTGTACCGGACAGTGGTAAGGCCTGCGATGCTATACGGCAGCGAGTGCTGGCCCCTGAACAAGAATCACGAAAGGCAGCTTCACTCCGCTGAGATGAGGATGCTGAGATGGGCCTGCGGCTGGACGCGACTGGACAGGGTCAGAAACGAGGATGTCAGAGCGGTCATGCAGACTGCCCCTGTCCAGCTGAAGGTGCGGGAGCAGCGTCTGCGATGGTATGGGCATGTGCTAAGAAGACCACAGGACCACACGATAAGGAAAGCGATGGGCTTCAAAGAGCATGGAAATGTAGATAGACGTCATTAAGAAGGATCTAAACATAAGTGAAGTCACGGCCACAGCAGAAGACGCCCTGGACAGAACAAAGTGGCGACGACTGATGAAAGACAGCGGACCCTGCGACTACGCGGACTAGCGCTAGGAAGAAGAAGTGTGTGCGATTGTTGAGAAGGAGCAGGACCCCGTTCCAATGCCCTTCCAATGACGTCTGTGAAGGTCATCAAAACCGATTTTTATCTCAACAATCGCACCCACTGCCTCCGAGGAGAAGCTTGCACCCATGGCATGTTCCACTGATACTAGATTGAGTTATCCTGCTCGGAAATGAGAAATCGTACAAGCTGGATTGCTCGTGGAGGTAAAAAAAAAACCGAGGAATCCTAAGCAATGGCTTTTCCTTTTTTCCTTCTGAAGCCGTGGGCAAGCTTACAAATTTAAGTCTGGCAAAACACAAAGTAGGGTAATGGCCACTGGGTGCCGAGGAGAGAAGACGACTTCCAGACCAGAGAGCACAGTGGACATAGAGAAGCAGACAGCCGGCGGGGAAAAATTTTACACACGGGAGAGTGGCAGCCAAAGAGGCCTTGGCAAGGTGCTAGCGTTTTTTAATACCTGGAAGCAGTGAAGACAGCTTCTGTTCCTTTTTTTGGCTCTATTCACGAAGGTGATTAACCTGAATTTGTCGCCTCACTGTACATGTGTTTAGGAGTGTTTGGATGCCTCGTCTATCTCAATATCGACTTGGATCCAATCTCTATGACAACTTTGCTGATGGCAATTGGTTTCTCAGTGGACTTTGTCGCTCACATAACGTGGCACTACTACAAAGGCGATTTCCCGGTAAATTTGTATGCATGGCCTTATTTTTACATGTCACGCACGGTTCAATTAGCGACAATCTGGTGTTGGAAAACAAAATATATTAAAATCTATCTTTTGCTATCTTTTTTTTTACTATCTTTTGCTCAAATTCTGTTCATGAATTCGATTATTGTGAGCGATTATGGCTCCTTCGATGATTACTGATTCAAATTGGGTACGCGCACGGGCGCGGTGTCGCATGGACCTGAAACACCAATGGGATTTTCGGTTGTAGCAGCTCGGAGCACGCAGTGCAGTGAGCATCTGACCTACTCAATCCAATTGAACTCTATCTACCTTTTTTCGTACCTACCTCAGGCCGCCTCAAAACATTGTAACTATATGGCTTCACCTCCTTCATTCAGTTGCGTGTCCCGATCCGATCAGCCGTATTATTCTACTCTCCTTCTTCTAGACAGTTCATTTTTTCCATGCCTTCAGCCTGTCTTGAAAGTTTTTTTAAGGCTTTTGGGTCCGGCTTCGCTTATCCTGGCGTGCGTTACATCTGTTGTGACGTTTTCACTTTCCTCTTACGATTTCACTTTGCCTTGCATGGTACCCTAGAGTTTATGCTGACCGGAGAAGACTAGCGGATGAGCAGTAATTTTTCCAACTTTCGGGGACACGTTCCGATCATTCGCGCGGCAGTTGAATGATTCCGTTTTTTGCATATATTTAGCACAAATTGCTCGTGTCAACTTTTGCAGTTCTCGTCTGGACTGCATTGAGAAATCGTGCTGCGAGATTTCGTAGTAACTCCTTAGGACCTCGCGGGTATTATGAAACCGAGTCGGAAATTCTGCTCTTTGGCAGAGCTCATTTCGCCGTATTTTTCGCCTTTCGTGGAATTTAGGTCCACTTAGTTCACGCCACTTTTCAGAATCATGGCCTATGCCGCACCCATCCCAGATTAGACCGTCCTTATTTAGGAAATACATATAGGATACTAGATTTTGTGGCACGCAGTCGCAGGCGCTCATACACAGTCAGGCGCACAGCGCTGCGGTAAAAGTCCTGTTGAGGACGAGGTCGCAGCAGTACGACCATCTCTAAAATCAGGGTCTTGATATTGCCCTCCCTAAAATCAGGGTCTTGATACGATCCCTCTAAAATTGGGGTCTTGATATGACCCCTTTAACTTTGATATTCACTTAGAGGTGGAGAGTGGTATCGGTATGAAGTAGTTGAGTATGCCTGTCTTATCCGCCTGAATAAACGAGGGCCTTATACATACTTTAAAGTATGTAAAATAGAAATATTTGCGATGTTGTTGTCGAAACAAGCTTGCTGTTGAGAAGTTCAATGCCGTACCGAAACTGCTTCCATTACACCTGCTTTTGTATGCACCGTTAAACGATAGATTTTTTAATCTATTTCTATATCTAGAACATCAAGTGCTTAGTATCAAGCAAAAATCAAAATCCTGAAAGTCACGTTCTCGAACGAAACAGAGCAATATTGTGTTTGGTAATAAATAGCTACTACTCATTGCTACCTGAAAGAACAAAACTGAAAAAAAAACTATTTTGGATCAGCAAATCTACGACGGCTACTAGTCAGTGACAGTCAAAGATAGTAACGAAGAAAGTCAGGCCGACTGTCGACGGCCAAATTTTCGGAACTGGCACAAAATCTCAATTTTTTCCAAAACTTCTACTTCGATCCTATGCTTTCATCACGAATATGACATCCATTTTTCCAGATGGCTCCAATTTACGCCACTTCGGCACCATTTGGCGCCCTTCTGCGTTACAACTTTTTTCCGCCAGATTCCAGTTAAAATCTGAGTGTAATAGTTAGTGATGGTCCAAATGATGAACATGATGCCTGCTTTCAGCGCTGGCGCTATGGCGCAATTTTGAAGCTCCAACCGAAATGCAAAAATTTTGTCATCACGGGGGATTGATCCTTGGACCATTTCCTCACCACTTTTTGGCCTTCTCGGGGCGTTCAGCGAAAATGGACCTTGGTTCTATAGTCCACACATGAGAATCCTTGCGGATTTCCTTTGTAAGAAAACGGCAAGGATTTTCCGGGGCTGCGACTGCCGGCAAATTCGAACGATTTGCCGGCAGTCGCAGCGCGGTTTATCCCTGGCTAAGGTTCTAGGGAGCCCGCCCCAAACCTTGGAAAACTACACTAATTGAAATGCTTTGGATCTTCTATTTCATAGCCTTCCAAACAGTTTGTGGTAGACCTAGTTAGTTTGGCTTCATGTTACCAGGCAGTACTGAAATTGCTCTGGAAGCCTTCCGCTGGGAGAGGAAATGTCTCTCGAACAGGTCGACGCTAAAATTTGTTTTAACCAATATTCAGAAAGCAATCTCTAATTCTGTAATGACTTAGAAAATGGAAGAACGCTTTGAAACTTCGAGCGGAAGATTTGCGCTCTTGAACGATCTGTTTAGCTTCTTGGTACACTCCCCTGTTGGGGGACTATTTGCGTCGAGGATCTGTCGATGACAATTCTCATCTACTCAATCGTATAACTTCGTATCTTACGATATCAGCTATTCAGTTGCAACACCTCGAAGGTGTTTCTCGAGTGCGCAACCTTAGCCTAATAAGACAGACGATCATTTATCGCCTATATTCTCGACTGAGTTCTGGCATTCGCGATCCACCACCGCTCATAATTGCAGGTCAAATGAAGGATCATAGTATAGTAATGACGAATCCTGTTGACCACAACTGTAGTGAACATTTCGTAAACTGTTTATATCTAAGGACAAGCTCCAATGCTGCACTCTGTTTTTCCATCTTCCATCAATTTAGTACTGCTTCAAATACGTTCTCATAAAGATAGATGGAGCGACTGAACCTGCAAGAATATATTTAATCATGTTCCATCACATCTCTTCGCTTTCTGCTGCGTTACACCCTTCCCCCCTCCCCCTATCTGCACCACGAAGCCACTCATGGCTCTTACTGACCCACCACGATTCGAGGATTTTCTCGATCGATATTCACTCTGCATAGCATTGTATACTCGATATCCGAAAGTTGGGGTAGGTGTGTCACGGAACTTGATAGAAACTATGTGGATAAGCTGCTTCCAACATACATCGCTGGATATCAGCAAAGCATGCTGGCAACAGCTTATCCACGCACTTCTATCAAGTGCACGTCACTTCCGGTGACACACCTACCCCAACTTTCGGATATCGACTGTATGTATATATGTATTAGGTTGTTTTGTGAGCAATGTCGTTTTTTTCCGAATAGAAATTTTTCTTCTGAAATTCCATCTTTTACATCCCTTCAGATACCTTTTAAAAGCGATTTGTCTGCTCTAAAATGCGTTATGTTTTGTTTTTCTACTCCTTTTTAGGTTTTTTTTTACCGACAACTAGCTCTATTCCGTTTCCACTCGGGGAAATTGGTTAATGGTGTGCCCTCTACTTACCAGGAAAGTCTTTCAGGTCATGGAGCGCTTTCTCAAATCAGTGTATTGCATGATATAGGGGCACGCCCGTGGTGCTTAAAACTGATGATCATTTTTTCAGAGGAAGGGGGAAATCTTCCCTGTCCAAAGACACTTTTATATTTTTAGTCGACTTTACAGCATTTGCAGCGTGGAATAGTTGAGCAATGGAAGGTTTTTGGGCACCATTTCACTACTGGTGCCCCAAAATCTCAAAATTTCATTTTTCGTCGAAACTTTGCCTATTGGGGTAATTCGATGCCCTGATTACGAATATGACATTCATTTTTGATGCTGGGTCATTTGGCGCCAAGGTTGGCGCCGACAGCTGTTTTTACCAAATTCTGTGTCAACTTGTATATATGTAGGGGTTATTTATTTGGTGTGCTGATGTCGAATATGACATTGGGTTTGATCGCGATCAGGATTAAGCCCTTGGGGAGAGCAGGCTTATTGTTAGTGGTGAGCAAGCCACTTATCCGGTGATCTCACATACATCATGTGTCTCATCTTGCCATACGATGCGCAACTCACTCGACGCTGTGTCCCCCTTCCCAACGGGCCTACCCTTAGGCACTGTGTCAGAGTGAGAGAGCCCAGGAGAGCAGAAAATATGCGTTAGACAGCGCAATTCCAAAAGCGAATGTCATATTCGTAATCAGGACACCAAATAACCCCTATATACAAGTTTGCCCGAATTTAGTGAAAACAGCCGTCGTGTGGAGATCAAACAACTGACCATATATCGGCATGTTTTTGTAGCATTCCCAGAGCCGCTCAGTTTTATGCTCCCTAAGCGTGTCTCTGTGAAATGCAAAAACCGCCCTGAAAAAGCGCTCCGTATAACGAAAGACTCTCCTGTTTAGTCAAGACCTCTCCTGGCCATTTCGCTATTAGGTTTTCCAACAAGTCGTGCCACTCTTCAATCAAACTTCGTGTTTCGGTCAAAACTCGATAGCTATCCACTATCTCATCACTTTCACACCCAGAAGTTTTACAGCCGTCTCGTTGGTAACTAGTAGAACGTCAGTAGAATTCATGACCAAGTTTAAAATGCTGATTTTTTTGTCTTCTAGGGATGTTTTTTCTTTGGAGTAATATGGTTGTTCTCGTGGGCTGGGTATCTTATCTAGACCTGAAATCTGACACAATTCACAATTTAAGGTAAAACAAAAATTCAGAAGTACTCTCGTTCGACAGGGCTTTCCGACCACCTGATAGCAGCACTAGAACTCGTGTCATAGAGGGCACATCATTAATCGGGATCTTCCAGGGATCTCATCTGGATGGCACATGAAATCATGTAAAAACATTGGTGGGAATTTCGTGTCTGAAAAGCGACACTACTCATGGAACAACGTAATGTAGATGGCGAACTGGACTAACCTACCCATGAGGAACCTGGTTCATCGGTTGAGGCCTACCAATCCTTGTTCTTCTCGATGAATTCCACTGATAGGAGAAACTGAAAAAATAAGCAACTAGTGCAAAATAAGCACCCAGATATTAGAGGCTTCAAGTATTACGATGTTTGTGGCAAAAAAATGGTCGTAATGTCCCTACTATTCGAAGCGCTAAGTCTGCCTGTCTGTCATTATGTTTTTGTGTGCCACGAATCTCAGAAGGCGCGTCGCAGCAACGGTGGGGCAGGTGATATAGGGAGTGCACGGGCTCACAGATGGTGGGTGGCAGGAAGTGGAAAGTTGCAAGGAGAGTGAGACTGAGAGATCCATCGGGTGTTTTGCGGCCTTCGCTGTGGCAAAGCAAATTTAGTTTTTACAAGGGACAAGGGGGAGGATCGTACGGGTCCACAGATGATAGAACGTGATGATGTTTGATGAAGACTGACAAGTGACTTCCGGATGCAAATGTTCTCCAATTCTAATTCGTTCCTCGCAGTAATGATGCAGCGCTTTTGCATTCCAACCCCCTTTCAAATTTACTCACCTCTTATAATTTTCTCATGAGACATCGATGTTCTTACCCCTTCAGCAGGGAAGCGTGGGGCCACTGTCAGTGTGTAACTTCGCTAGCAACGCCGGTGAATCTCTGCAAGAGGCCTGTTTCGCTGTGAGACATGCATCGTCCCCAATCCTTACAAGGACCTGCATTCTTTTTCACAAGTAGTACCCTTCCCCTTCTTCGACCTCCAATTTATCGTGTAATCCTCCCTTAATGAACTAATGTTAATAGTAGGGTAAGGCGTATTTTGTCGCTAATGCCCGGACCGAATTGACACTCATGAACTTTTCAGAATAAACGAGAACGTATCCGCCATGCTCTGGCTTCAATCGCTTGGCCGATGTTTCAATCTGGTATGTCTACAATGATTTCCATTGTTGTCCTCACAGCAGTGCACGCGTACATGGTCAAGGTTTTCGTGAAGGTAAGACATTTTCCAACTCATGACCACAGTGCTGGCGTTTCATAGAAGAGTAACTATCGAATGGAAGAACTTGTCTAAGTACAAAAGATATTCTACTGTTTAGCGGTTGATGAGTAGTTGAGGTAATGAATGTTGCAAAGATGAAACCAAGGGAGTGGGTCCAAATCAGCGAAATTAGAGTTACTTTCCTGGCTAAGCATATATTCACTTCCTCAATGCGCCCCAGAGGATCGACGGTAGAGAAGAAGAGCAGCAGAAGCCATCAGAAATACGAGACTTGACCCTTTCGCCTCTGGAACTTGAACATGGATCGACGGAGAGGCACAGTGTGCCGAGAGAAGAGAACACGAGTGGGCTCACGCCATACGAGAAGGTGCAGACACACGAGTATTGCATAATGAGCAATAGGAGAGCCAGTCAGAGGCCGAATCAGAACCATAGGTGAGGCTACAGTGCCTATACCCACTTTTCTTGAAATGCATGAGTTCTCCTCGAGGGCAGCGATTACGATAGGTTCTGTAGGGGATTAGAGGTGACGAGTGGGTGTTCAATGGCACATCAGTAGCAAAAGAAGAAGAGAATTCCGTCAAGTAGACACAAAATAGTACCCTAGATCGCCCTTCGTTCGATCATGCTTTGATGGGTAACTCTTCACATATGTAGGTATGTCGTATGATACAGCCGCTGAAGAGGGAATGATCTTCCAGAATGAGGAGCCAACAGCAAACAGCTCGCCCAAACACCAACAAACCAGAGGGTTTATCGCTCTTCAAGTTTTGCTCAGCAACCAGGGCCTTCCGTCGTAGAAGCGCTTCGCGTCGCTCCATTAGCAACCAAGCGCTCCGACTATCCTTATTTGGGAGTACAAGCTCGTACACTTTTTTGAATTGCACTTGTAACTGGAGAAGTTTCCACAAACAAGCAGGGTGCGCATAATTTACGGAAACCGAAAAAATCTACGAACTATCGAATAACTGATGAATTCAAATCCTGCCAGGAAACAATTCCTGCTCGCTACGGGACAATATTCAGCTTTTCTCGTTCGAGTCCACCTCATCTGTTGTAGTTTCGAAGTAGAATTTAGAAGTATATTCAATTTCTAATCAAAAACGTTAGAAATAATGTTGTGCAAGATCATGAACTTCTCCGACATATTTAAATAATTTGGAATTGTTTCGAAAAATTTTTTTTGTAATCACAACTAGTAAACAATAGCAAGAAGAGAACTTTTTCCATGGGAAAATTCAGTTCCGGAAGGGTCAAAAAGCCCCGAGATTAGGTACTGTTGAGTTTCCAGCGGCTATAGTATCCTCAACGAATTATATTTGCGCAATGTTATTTACTATGCACTTCATGTTGCGTTTAAGTTCATCTTTGTTCACAGTAATTTGATGTTGCCCCGGATTCATGTGTTTTGGATAAATTTTAACGAAACGATTTCCGCTACCTCCAATCCTGCTCTCATTCATCGAGTGCTTGTTTAATTTATGTGAAACGCTAGGCCATTTACATTTCGAGGCGGAACAATTTACTGAAATAACTAAGTTGTTGCAAACAAACAAAATCGCATATATTTTTGCCCACTCACTTTGATCGCTCTGGAACTCAGTTGGATTGCTCACCTCGGTAGCTCACCCTCGTGGTACAGCGTATGAAGTAAAGCTTCTGCTCGCGCATTTTATTGCCTTAACAAACAACACCTTTGTCATTTTTCAGGTTGTTATACTGGTCGTATTTCTTGGCATGTGCCATGGTCTGATAGTACTTCCCGTGGTCTTCGCAGCTCTTCCGTTTACGAAAGCGAAATTGTCACAGGAGAAACCTCACCAGCTGACCATCATGGATGTGAAGCCGGGAGCAGGTCGACAGTCAAATCAGGCCTGACGCTGTACAGGATTTTCCGTTGTGTAATAACTTAACAACACATTCCGCAGTGAAATTCTTTTCACTCATTTCTCATCAGCAAACGTCGTCCAGAGTTTCGCTAGAGGCCTAAAGAGGTTCTATGGCAGATAATCTTTTTCATTGCACTCCTCATTTTCCAGTTTCTATTTTCCACGGGTCAAGCCCTTCGCTGTACTGTTAATTAAGGTTGCCTTGTGCTTTTGAAGAGTATTCTTATAAGATAGGTGACAAGTTCGGTCATATCCCTGTGCTGATTGCGGTGCTCATCAGTGATGCATTTTCAAAGTAATGTATAAATGTGAAACCTTCGAGGTGTATTCGTTTTCTAAGATGTGAGATGTACCTGACTGCATACTTTTCTTTGGTTGCGGTGCAAGAGAATGGTGTTAAACATTGTTCGCTTGTTTGCAATCTTGAAATGTTTCAATTTTAGTTCCTTCTGTTGTGTTCTTGAAGCACCGCGTCTGCTTGTTACTCGATGCGATAGGGTTACAAGCAGTAGTTCTCTTCCAAATCTCATAGTTTCTTCATCACTTCCTTTCTAATGGCAGTGACATTTCCTTTGAAGACATCCTTCGCGATTTAATAGGTTACTTTATAATCCAAACAAGAATCATTTCAGCATGGGTTTACCGGTAGCGAAAGAGAGCAAAAAATACCGTGAAGAACCGTTGAAGTCACAGCGCGCTTATCGTTTGGGCGGGGTTTGCATCACTACCACAGTCTCATTTATCGGCCCACTGTATTTTACCTAAACTGGGAAGTCTTCGCAGTCCTTGCAACTTTGAAACCGATAGCTTCCGCTTTCGAGCATTCCATCGGACAGACGAACAAGGCGCTGCGAACCAGAAGATTTTACTTTTAAGGTGTTGCTGGAGGTGCTTCAAGGAGTCATAGTACCAAAATGGCCCCGTTGAGTATTTCCATCAAAATTACGAAAATGTTTCCAGGAAACGCGAGTTGTTGCAACTTCGGGAACCATGTCTTCCTACAGTGAAAGTAACGGGAATAATGAGTGGGACGCTATACCGAAGGTTTACTCATTTGAGCATTTTTTGAAGAGTTGCTAGAATTCAAAAATGGCCCTGTTGAGGATCTTCTTTTGAGTACCGCAGAGAGCTTGCTTTTTGAAAGTTGTCACGTTGTCAACTACCGTAGCATTCTTCTTAGATATTTTTTTGCAAAAAGTGAACGGGATCCACCTGCATTCGTACATATTTATAGATATGAACAAATGCAAACATTCACTGTAACGTTTCTGATTGCGAGGGTATATGTGGACGCAGAGTTAATGGGAAATCTGTGTTCCGCCCTAATCAGGGGATCCCTTCACGCAATTTCATACCGCCCCTTGGGCCCTGTGATACTTCGCATTAAGAGGAAAAATATCAGAGGAGAGTAACTGAGATGGAATGGGGGCGGGGGAGGCAGAAGGATGGTTTATCTCGCTTTCATCTGCGCACGCACGCCATTGCACACCAATCACTGTAAAGCTTACGTCTTCTCAGCTCATCTCTTCATTTTTTGCCTTTTTTCCTTTTGGCCCCTGCTAACTAGAAGAGAAGAGGAACTTTTAAAAGAAAAGTGCTTACGTTCACCGGAGCCCCTCCACCTTTACAGTTTTCCCATACGTTTAGTAAACTCGTTTTCCACCAGCATGGCTTCGGGCTTTGGCGCGCCCCTCATCCTGCATTATTCAGGTGTATTTCTAGACAGTATTGTTTATTCGTACCATCCAGGAAGATAGCGTTAGAAGTGAGAAAAAAATGAAGACAAACAAACGCTTACCGTGTCCAAAAATCGAGCATCACCCCTCAACTAGTTCCGCACCCGTGGGGCCTTTGATTGGGGCGCATGTCTGATTGTTCCGCTCTATAAATTGAAATGTACATGTGCTGAAGGTGCTGCACGTCGGCGTTTTGCGAAAAACGTCGACAGCAGCAGTTGTTTTGTCAGGCATGTATCGATCAACCGTCGAATCGAATCAAGCGCAAATGAGGGATCGTTTGATGGTTTTGCTCTCTCACTGCGGTATTCGTGCTCTTGACAATGAAAAACCCATGTAATATAGCGAGGAACACTTGATACAGTTGCTCATTTCCCACTGTCCATTTTAGTGCAATCCACCCTCTCGTTCTTTGATCAGGTAAACGCAAGACTCATGCTCCGGTCAAACCTACTAGTTCTATACGGATGAGGCCTACCTTCAAGTTAAAGTTTGCATAAGAGACCTCGTCACATTTTCCAGTGCAAGGTCAAACATTTTTCATACCGTAAACAATCGGCGAGATGGCGTAATGAGAAGCAGCAACTGGTTAAATAACCTCCACTCTTCCAGCACTCGTAGTTCAAGAAGCGTAGCTCCAATCGATGGTGGGTTTTGTCACCACTGTGAACATCATGGCGAGAAAACGGCTGCGGTAATATGGCCCTCACCCTCTGGATCTTGTAACGACTCCCCGGCGCAAGTAAGCTCCGGAGAACGGTAAGTAATGATCGAGGATTCCCCGAGAAAAGGGTGGATTAGGAAAAAAAGTGAAAAAAGACGGTAGCTTCTTTTTTTCTGCTGGATCAAATTAGTTCAAAGTTCAATATGTTTTGAATACAAGCCTGTCTCACAAGACCAGTGTAACCAATCAGACTTATTACCTTGGATAGCCTTCTATAGTCGCTAAAGGTTAATAGGGCTTAAATATTGGTAAAAGAATTCACTGTTTTTTGGTACGACCTCCACTTTTTCTCCAATGTGGCAGTTTCTCCTCTACATTCTTGGCTTTTTTGCCAAGGACTTCCTCACCTTTTCCCATAGGGTCTTGATGACGCTCAGGCCTGCGTCCAAATCAGTTCCTTCATTGAAAGCAATCCATGCTGCCGAAACCACTCCTTCACAGTGAAGGTGCGATGCTTTTGGTCCCTCTACTGCTAGAATACGAGATCAGCACAGCATGTGCCGTACTCGTAAATTCAAACACCTTCGAGAACCTATCTGTGTACGTACCCCTCACCAGTTCGGAAATCCTATGAGGATGCCCGACTGTCCGAAGTGATAGGAATCGGAGGGGTCTGCTGAAGTGGAAATCCCCGGGGGTCTAAGGTCATCTGAGGCAACGAGAGTGGATTCAGTATATTTGGAGGGACAGCACAACGCATGTGTGGCATCCTGACGAAAAGGTTTCGATTCAAAGGTCACCTGTCATCAGTGGAATAAGACGGAGGTTGGTTATGGTAGCCCGTAAAAGAAATGGGACCACTGCATAGAATTCGAGAATTGATGAATGCGGAAGTATACAGATGGATTCTAGAGGGGGTTGCATATCCACACGCACGGCAACCGCGCGGTAGTGAGTTCTTTTCGCATTTAAAAATGGACCCAAAGCATTGAACCTCTACTGTTTCGGTTTCGGCAGCACGGTGTGCTTCAGAAGAAGGAATAAATTCAGACGCATGTCCAGAACGTCATATATGGATTCAAATCTGGCCAAAAATGAGGAAAAATAGAGGGTGCGGTCCCAATAGGATGTGAATCCCTTAAGTGATTCCGTTTAGACCCTACTAGGGTTTCAGCGAATCGAACGTTATTTACAAATAATTAAGTATGCTTGATATAATTCATCATGCGGTTCATTGTCTGCTGACTTACAACTACAATAATTTAAAATTTTCTTCGAATTCGGTCATAGTCGGGAATTTCCATTGCTGATTTCGTGACAAAGGTTTGCCTTTAGAATATATCA